CCCGAGTCCTGCGTCCCTCCAGGTTCAACCTCCATTTAAAGGATTTGTGTGAGTCGCATAAGGCTCCTCGCGGTCCCTGGACCTAGGGCATCTCAACAGTAAAATGGGGTTAAATGACCCGATCTCACAGGAGAACGCAGCGCACTATAGTGCATATGTCTAAAGTTGGCTCTGACCGAACTTTGCTGGTTAGGGGCCAGTTCGAGAAAACCCTTGTCAGAGAAGCTTTTCCTGAATCCACAGTGGAGACTGCCATTTCTCTGGAATGAACTTGCCCGCATTTATTCCTCATTTTCCCTCTACCTTTTATTTCTGCCTTTCCCTTTCTCCCTCACTGATCTCTGAAGTGGGTGCCGTGAGTAGAAGGTAACTTGAATATTGGATCTCACACTCCCCAGACATCTATTCACTGCTTACCCAGCAGTGATTTCTCAGCTCTGGCTGCACAATAGAATCATCTCGGAACATCTAAAAAATACTGATGCTTCGGCCCCACCCCAAACCAATTAAATCAAGATCTCTCGCAGTGGACCTGGGCATGGGTGGTTTTATGCTTTTTTCTTTTTTCTTTTTTTTTTTGCAAAGCTCCTGGGATGAGTCAGGGTTGAGAACTGCCCAAAAGGCTCTTGTCTTTTCAGGCCAAAGTGGTTGACCTCTGAAGGCTTTCTGGCTGTGAGAAATTTTCCTTCTTGATTAGGCAAAGGGCAATCAAAATCCTAATTACTAGAAGCCTGCTTTAGCTCATTTAAGTTCAAGCCAGAGGGGGACTGGAACTGGTTCTAGAGACAATGCTGACATGGCATCATTCTTGGGAGCTGGCAACTATAACTGGATACTATTTTTGTATTCAGGACTATAGTTTGATTCTCATTCCTAGTCTTGCCATTATTCCTTTTCTCCTTGAAAAAGCATTGGTAGCAGAGTGTAGAGTGGGTGTGATGGGGTGTAAAAAACCCCCCAAAAAACAAGACATTAAAATAATCCTTTGTGTGACAGTGATTCACTGTGATCGAAGGTGAACTGATTGAACTTTTTGGACCTAAGGATTTTTATCTTTAAAATGAGCGTGTTATATACCTGGCAGAACTGTTTTAAGGATAAGAAACAATGTCTTGGAAATTGAAAAATACAAACTAGATTGCCATAAAACCTAAGGCTTTTTATTTAAAAAACCAACCAACCAACCAACCAACCCTGGATATGGGTGGTAACAAGGGAATTGTATAAAAAAGAGAAAGGGGTCTGGCCGAGTGGCTCAATTGGTTAAGAGCTCACCCATAGTGCGAACTCTGAGCAACAGGGTTGCCGGTTCGATTCTAGGCCCGAGCTGAGCTGCCAACAGGTGGCAGGATGGCTCAGCTTATAAAAGAGAGAGAAAGGAATCACTAGGTATTAAGCATCTTAATAAATGTCAGCCCCTAAGCTGAGCCCATTTACAAGTGCTTGTTCCTTCAATCCTTATAACAATCTTGAGGTGGTAACTGGAGTTAAGCATTTAGAGACATCAGGTAATCATGAAGGACCCTACAAGCCATATTAAGGAGTTTGGGCTAAAACCCTGGGGTATTGGATTTTAATCTGTGTCATGTGCAGGAATACAATGGTGAATAAGACAGACCTTTGTAGAGCTTGCAGAGGAAGCAATTGAGCATACAAGCAATTATAGGGATCAAGGTTATAAATAGGGGAAGCACAAAATACTATGGAAGCACATGGAGTGGCTCCTAATCCAGTCTAGGGGCTTAAAGGAAGTCTTCTGAAGGAAATGTTCCAGAGGGTCCAGAACGGTGGTTAGAATACAGAATGAGGTAGGAAAGGGGCAGAAGCCAAATCATGAGGATCTTACAAGCCATATTAAGGAGTTTGAGCTAAAACCCAAGGATATTGGATTTTAATGCAGAGGAGACAGATGAAGGGCGTTAAAGCAGGAAAGTGAAAGAGGTGGTGGTGACATGACCTAATGTATTATAGGAAGATCATTGCAGCTGCAATGTTGTAGATTGGATTGGAAAATGGAAAGATTAGAAGTATGAAATTCAGATTAGTTGTTAATCTATGATGGTGATAATCCATGATGGTGATCTGTATGTACTCCAGTAGTAGCAATGGAGATATAAAAATGGATGGATTTGAGCTGGAATACCATAATTTAAAGGAAGAGCAAAGGAGATTAAGATGTGACCAGAGAGGTAGAGGGAAAAACAGGAGTATGGTGTCATGTAAACCAAAATAAGAGTATCCTAAGGAAGGAATGCCAACAGTGTTAAATACTCCTTGCAAGGTCAAGGAAGGTAAGGACTGAAAGTATTTACAATATTTATGATCAAGGAGCTCCTGGGTGACCTTGGTAAAAGCAACCTTAGTGGCATGGGGGTGAGAAGAAGGGCAGAAGTATTGGGATACAAGTAGGCCAAATTTGTTGTGGGAGCAGTTACCTGACCCTATGAGTTAGGTCTGGGTCTGAGAGAATAGCGAATGCTTCCTGGAAGAGTAGGCCTGAGCAGAGTACTCAAGGACAAACAGGAGTTAGCCAGATAAAGAGGCAGAGAAGGAAAATCTAGGCAGAAAATGCCACATGTACATGAGCACTATGCACTACATGTACTTCGGCGGCACTAAACATAACTGTGTGACTTGGGGCAGGTTCTTCACCCATTCCCTCATCTATAAAATGGGAATGATAATGCTGACAGTATTTATTTCACGGATTTGTTGATGAAAATTAATTTATGTAGAGTAGTAGGCACACACTAGGGACTCAACCAATGATTGTTCACTACCCCCTCATTAAAGCATCACAATGAAACAACACTTTCAGATTTAAAAAAATGAATTTAATGTCTCTCTAGAAACAGTGCACTGATTTTACAAATGTCCACATTTGGTTTTTAGTTCACCAAGATGATGTCAATATAGCTAGTAAGATGCAACACACCACCCTTTGCCTCTGGAAGAGAAACCAGACTGCAAAGGGGACTGAGTATAGAAGCTAACAGAACTCGGAATGACAAGACAAAAAGAGCAGAAATGGTTAGTGTGACCCAACATTGTAACATGCCTATTACATCAAACATGGTAATTTGGGTGTGTTGTGTGCATGGGGGGAGACAAACAAGGAAACTTCATTTGGGTACAGTGTGATGGAGTTTGCAGACCAGTACTTCACCCCCAAATTAACAACAGTTTGTATAGAACAAAATGCTATTTTAAAACACATGGTTTGTACAGGTATTTGTTTTCTCTTGTAATTTTTGTAAAAAAGTATCAAAACCTTCATGTCTTTAAATATATATATATATATATATATACATATACATATACAGGTGGTTCTTTTTAAATTTTTATAGCACAAAGTGTTTGCAAATACAGAGGGTTTCTGCTGATTTTTGAATACGCACATAGTGCATAGCCTGAATGAAAAGAGCTTCCTGATTTCTTTTATTAACTGAAAATTTGAAGCTGTAATTCGTCTACCTCTAAGTTCTCCATATCCTGAATATCCCCAATACCCTAAACATACAGTGGGAGAAGACTGCAATCCTCTATCTTCATGCATTGATGGGAAAGTAAATAATTTACTCTGAAACGTTTTAATTGCTAACCATCTATATTCTGTGAAATGATGAGTATATGGCTAAAGTTAGGGAGTGAGGTGGGGAGGCTCACCTTCCTGTGCCCTCTCCCCATTCCCACCAGCGCCTGACTGGACAGTGCTTAGGGTTACCTCTGCAGACTTCATATCTTCAAATTTTCCAGTTTTCTTTCTCACTGTTGAGAAAATCTGAGGCTCTTGACAACGTGGACTACTTCTGTGAAAATCCCACTGCCCTTATATTAGTTTTCATTGACCATATCAAAAAACTTCAACTCAACTATATGAAAAACAGTCACTATTTCCCTTTGGCCCCTGGAAAGCTTGAGTCTGAAGTTAAGTCTGCAAAGTGCTGGCAACACATCCTGATGAATTTTTCACGATGCACTTGGTGCCTTGTACACAACAAATGACCAAGAAATGTTTGCTTGAGTTAGAAATTAAACAGAAGTATTCTATAAAGTGCATAATTGAACCTGTCTTTCCACCGAGCCTCATTTCTTGCTAAGTCTCCGTTGAGCTTTTTGTTTCTTATAATGAATTACACGCACTTCCTTAAAGTCCCCATGCTGTTCCATGCTTCGTGTCTCCTCTGCCTGAAGCAGCTTGGACACCCCTACTTAACTTAGCTTAAGGTTACTTCTCCTATGATGCCCTTCTTGACCCCATTCCTCGTATCCTTGGGTAGAAATGACCTCTTTGTATCTTAATACTCTGAAAAGAATCTATTCCTTTTTTTGTTTCCACACGTTTTTCTCTACTGCTATTATGAGCTCCATAAGGACAGAAAATGTTTGATTGATCTGTACATCTGTAGTGCCTGACACTTAGTTGGGACCTAGAAAATGGTTTCAGGGAATTAATATATTGCAATCACAAAGAGAATTGGAGGGATCAATAGTACTTATTGCCATATATTTAAATCTGATTTCATTCCAAAGTTACATGTTATCTCAATCTGTTTTATAAATAACCATGCTATTAAAAAGTAAATAAATACAATTTTAGTTTTCCCTGTTTCTGAAAGGCCATTTCTGCCAGGGCCTTCATAATTCCATTGGAAAGATAGGTAGCAGGTTTGGTACAATGTTCAAGCAACCCAAAGTAGTCTCCTGGAGAAGGAACGGGAGGACAAGGACTGGGACCAATTTCTTTTAAATAGAGAAAAAATATGTCTGATAAGTTTCCTGCCCTCCTGGCATCATCTCTAAGCTTCCTTCCAGCTCTATAGTCCAGTGACTCTCTGACCCGTTAATGGCTGTAGTTATAGGACAGCACAGGGGCAAAAGACAACAGAAATGCAATTAAACCTCAGAATGAGGTTCAGAATCCTCCAGGATTAGAGGGAGGATGGACCCAACACCTCAGATTTCATCTTATTTACTGCCATCCAACGTGAGTGTTTCAAAGGTTGTTCCCATAGCTGCCTCTTTGCAGTTGTAGCATATTCGGAAATCATGGGTGTCTCTGAGAAAGTTGTGGTTCATCATCGTTTTGGAATCTTGGGCTGAATCATCCTGACCCCATTTATTATATTTTTCCATGAAGGCCAGGATCTGACTGAAAGTTTAGATAATTACGCATTAGTCACTGTTATCATTTCCCCAGGAAATTCTATTTCTTTGGAGGCAGGTTACAGAAAATGTTGCTGGTTTTAGGTACATTTCAATGATTTTTCACTTTCATCATTTTTCTTCAGTCAAAAATAATTTGACTTTCCATTCTTGAAAGAATAATAGTAAGTGATTAAGCTCCATAGGAGTTGGCCATCCATTTTAAAAATTCTATTTGGTAATGGTCATTCCAGGTCAATTGCATTTACTCTCTCAGTGAATGTTTCAACACATACATATCATGAGGAAATTGCTTTTTATGCAAAGTATAGTGCCCAGGCTCCAGAACACAGTTTTCTCAAAAGTTAGGAGACCATGAATGATGTAGAGAAAGGTCCTAGGAACTAGGTGATAGAATTCCAGAAAGTCTGCCTGGAAATTCAAAGGGTAGCACGCTGGTGAGACATCCATCCAAGCTTCACTGAGTTGAGGGCAGCTGGGGCATAGGTGGGAAGAATTTGCTTAAATGTGTCAAGCTCCAGATATGTTAAGGTTAGATACATGTCCTCTGCTCCTACATAAGCCAAACACTTATGTGTCACACTTTGTCCCTGGTTGTCCAGTGGGAGTGAAGTAGCAGAATTAAGAAAAGACCGCACCTTGGATGAGAGCCAGCAGGGACTGAATTCCTTCTGGGACTGTAGAATTATGTTTTCAATGGTAGACCCCCAAAGAGAAAACAGCACTTCTCCCTGCCTCCCCCAAAGCCCAGGAAAAGCAAAGAAAGTGTCCACAGTGAAAAAAACCAAAAAACCCCTGTACATATACCTAGAGTTTTTCCTTTTATTTACAAAGCAGTAAACCAAATCCCTGTGTGGACATATATAGCCGATGCACTATGATATTGCGTATGCCATTTCCCCCTCAAATAGGACTTTCGTTTTGGCCACTTGTTCTGACTTAAGCCAAAAATTAGTTTCATCTGTGTGAACACATTATGGTAACAAACCTAGGTCTTACTTTTCCCCACCTAAAGGAAATGGCAGAGAGTAAGGGGAAGGGAGAAATGGAGATGTAACAAAACCAGTTCCTCTGTCCACCATACATAGCATATCTCAGAGGTTTAATGCCTCAGCCAATCCCTACAGTAAACTTGGGCTGTTCGGGAAACATCTCCACTTAGCTCTCTATAAGTAAGGAAGGCACCCTCAGGGTGCTTCAGAGCAACCTTAATGAATTCAACACAAGTGTCTTGAAGGAAAATGAAGTTACTCGAAATGCTAAACTTTAAAACAAGGAGTAGCTAAGGTTCAGGTATGTTCTCACCTGAGCACTCGAGAACTTCTGGCACTGTGTAAAGTCTGTACACTGGCCTTAGCCACAGAACAGAGAGCCCAGATAAGAGTCACAGTAGCCATGGGTGAGCTGAAGGGCTTTTCCTGACTGATTGGGGGTCCCAGGAATAGCCAGACGTGGAAAAGATTCTGTCTCTTCCAATACATGTTTGCACAAACCATGGTATCTGGTTTCTGAGCCAAATTTCCAAAGGCTTCTCTGAAAACAACTGATACCTCTCTTGTGGATTATTTTAAAATATATTTATCTTTATATATTCGAACAGCCATAGTTGCGCCTCTTCTCTAGATTTTTCTCTCTCACACTCACGCATAAGCATACACAGAATCCATGTGGGGGGCCAATCATACCAAAAATAAATACTCTCATGTCTCTAAATTATTTATAGAACTAATCTTATTTTTGAAATATGTTAATAAATAATCTAAATGGGGGAGGGAGTCGAAGTGGGTTTTTTTTTTATGTTGATGGATACCACAAAGCATAATTATTTTATTTACAAAAAAACCTCAAAACTCCAAAACCTAAAAAATCCCCCCAAAACCAAATACTCTCTGTAAATATAGTTTTAAAATGATGAGTAAGCTACTGTACCATCGGCCCCATTTGGTTATGTACATCATGTTAGTCACTCAGCAGTAGCCATTCCATGAATTCCTCATGGGTAGTGCAACCAGTTAAAAAGTGTATAAAACATTATACATATAAAAACTCTCACATCCTTTGGATGTTTGCAGTTCATCATAACTTTGTGGTTACCTTTCCGCAACATAAATTAAAAAAAAACAAATCACACACACGCACGCACGCACGCACGCACGCGCGCATTCACTCACACAGACCCACAAACAGAAACCCTTCCTTCCAGGCACACACCATCCAGAGAGTGTGGTGCATGGAACCCAATTCCGTGAGGCACGAAGGGAGTGGTCCCATCCTCAGGGCAGTCCATCATCTTCAAGGCTTAATGCCACTCGCTGGGGAGACAGAGCAAAGAAATCATCATTAGACCCACAGGAGCTATTTATTGAGTATCCATAGGTACCAGACATTCTCCTGGTTTACAGACATTAGTTCATGGAATCTCCAAACTACCCCGAGAGACAGGTTTGTCGTATATATTTTATAGATGAGAAAACTGAGACTCAATGAGCTTAAAACATGTGCCCTGGATCACATAGCAAGTGAATAAACTACAATTTGAACCCAGATCTGTGTGACTCCAGAGCTGTAGCTTTTTTTTTTTTTAAAGATTTTTATTGAGGAATTGGGGGAAGGGGAACAGACAAGTTGCTGTCTTTTTGTTCTTCAGGCTAGTTGTGGAGGACGTCGCTTCACTGGCCCAAGTTGGCACCATCATTGCGCTCTTCCCGGGC